ATCGACGACTCAAACTTTCAATGTGTTTCGTGTGTATTGGGCAAGCAACATCGGCTGCCGTTCAAAAGTCGAAACGCAAAAACATACAAGTGCGGAGAACGGTGAATTCAAACGGTGGTGCACGGTATATGTTGGTGTTGAAAGACGATTATTCACACATGCGATTTTTGTACTTCTTGAAAGCAAAGTCAGAAGTGTCATCGACAATAAAAACATTTGTGGAATTGGTACATAATCAAACTGAACATAAAATTAAACGTTTCCGTTCGGACCAAGGAAAAGAATTCGATAACAGTGAGTTAAAAACATATTTTTCGGAAAAGGGAATTGTGTATCAACGTACAGTAGCCTATACACCGGAGCAAAATGGCTGAGTTGAACGTGAAAACAGAACAATTGTTGAAGCATTGCGCACAATGTTGCATGCACGTCGTTTGAATTTTAATTTGTGGGCTGAAGCGGCTAATACGGCTGCATATGTGATTAATCGCACAGGAACAAGTTCAGTGCCCAATAAAACGCCGTGTGAAATATGGTTCGGTAAACAATTGGATTTTGCGAATTTCAAACCGTTCGGTTCCGTGGTGTATGTACACATTCCAAAACAAAAACGTCACAAATTGGACAAAAAAGCCGAAGAGTGTTTGTTAGTTGGCTACGGTGAAAATATAAAGGGATATCGGGTCTATAATCCCAGTAAAAGAACAGTGTCAACGGTTCACGATGTTATTTTTGATAAGAACGAAAAAGAAAGCATGAATGTCACGCATAAAATAATTTCGAGTGAAAATAATATCGAAGAAAATGACAATGAAGTGATTGTGCGTTTAGGTTTTGATGAAGAAGAAGAAATTCTACGTTTGAGTAATGCGATTGATGAATCGGATCTAACAGTGATCAACATCGATAGCAGTTACGAAGACGGTGATACAAGCTATTCATCGGTAGATAGCTCATTCAACGATAGTCAAGCTGTGGATATTCCAGCCTCATCGAATAATTAATAAATATGTTCTTGAGCGACGTGAAAACCGATAAATCAACAAATAATTGAATCACACCTTATTGTTTTCACTAATTCAATATTTTCAATTCATTTAAAACAAAAGAATTTGAAAAGAGTACCTTGAATGCATTTCGGTACTATCGCACCATCATCAGCATCACGACTAAACAGAAAAGTCGTCGGTGTACCCCCTAGCCTAAGCCGCCAGTCTCCAACGAAAGTTCGAAGGGATTCCAGCTCCAGAGAATGTCCAATGAAAAGTTCTCCAACTTCAATTGAAGCTCCAACCATTTGCATAAAAGGTCCAACGAATTGGAAAAACGAATAATTGCATCTCCAACTGTTGTTAAATGACTTTTGAAAGTAACCATCTAAAAATTCAGAATACTCTTTTAGAATTGAATGTAGAACTGTATGTAAGCACTTGAAAATTTTGAGTATTATACGAATGGCACGACCTTTGTTTCTATGTAATTACAGACATTTAAATTGTCATCCGTGTAAATTATCAATACAAACAGGAGCTTTGTGGGCTAGCGCAATTGCTAATAAAACATGTGTGTATACAATTTAGTTGAAAGCAAGAAATTTAAGATTTGTTGAAAAAGTAAATCATCTGAGTATTTATATTAATATTCAAAATGATATATTAACGGGAAAATTTAGACGGTAGATTGATATTGAATATTTAAAAGCGGCACTCGAGCAAATGTTTTATTTATGTCCGACATTTTGTTGGAGGAATAGCCAATTTTATTTCCAACGGTCCAAATTCACCTCCAACAGTTTGTTGGAGGGACGACTATTTTTTCCCTTTTAAACTAAGCAAAGATAAATGAAGCGGCACTCGAGCGCCGAAGGCGCTCGAGCAAATGTACCCACCTCCAATAGTTTGTTGGAGAGACAAATAAAGCGGCACTCGAGCGCCGAAGGCGCTCGGGCAAATGTACTCACCTCCAATAGTTTGTTGGAGAGACAAATAAAGCGGCACTCGAGCGCCGAAGGCGCTCGGGCAAATTTACTCACCTCCAATAGTTTGTTGGAGAGACAACTATTTTTTCCTCTTTGAACCAATCAAAGACAAATAAAGCGGCACTCGAGCGCCTTCGGCGCTCGAGCAAATTTTTTATTTATGTCCAACACTCTGGGATCCAACACTTTGGAGTCCAACACTTTGAAGTCCAACAATTGGAGCTCCAACGTTTTCATTAAATGGCTAGTTTCACCTCCAACGGTTTGAATTTACCTCCAACGAATTCATTAGACGTCTAATTTCACCTCCAACGGTTCGATTGGAGCTCCAACGATATCATTAAATAACTAATTTCATCTCCAACGGTTTAAACTTACCTCCAACGATATCATTAGACGTCTAATTTCGCCTCCAACGGTTTGGTTAGACCTCCAACGATATCATTAAATGATTAATTTCACCTCCAACGATTTGATTGGAGCTCCAACGAATTCTTTAGATGACTTATTTCATCTCCAACGGTTTAAACTTACCTCCAACGAATTCATTAGACGTCTAATTTCACCTCCAACGATTCAATTGGAGCTCCAACGAATTCTTTAGATGGCTAATTTCACCTCCAACGGTTTAAACTTACCTCCAACGATTTCATTAAATGGCCAATTTCACCTCCAACTGTTTGAATTTACCTCCAACGATTTCATTAAATGGCCAATTTCACCTCCAACTGTTTGAATTTACCTCCAACGAATTGATTAAATGATCAATTTCACCTCCAACGGTTTGGTTGGAGCTCCAACGAATTAAAAAGATGACTAATTTCACCTCCAACGGTTTAAATTTAGCTCCAACGAATTGATTAAATAGCTAATTTCACCTCCAACGAGTTGTATTATCACTGGATATGAAGTTCAAAAGTTGTTTTTCGCATTCACTATTGTGAAAATCTATTCACAATAAGGAAAAATATCGCGTCACGACTTTTACACGACAAAACCCTTGAAAACTTGATCAAAAATCAAAGGGCATGACGCGTCCTAGCGTCACTCAAAATGACATCAGTCTTTTTGTGTGGTAAATCCACGCACAGGAGCGTCACTCCATTTTAACTTCGTCTAGAGGTTTTTCATCTGATATCACTACTTTTTTAAGGCAATTATTTTCGAAGAAAAATACACTTTTACCAAAAAAAAATGTTTTATTAACAGAAAAAAGCTGTTTTTTTCTTCATAAAACATTTAACAAACTTTGGAAGCAAATTTCCACTAACATCAAAAAGTCACATTTCTCCCAAATTTCACATTGTAAAATGCATTTAGCGGTGTAGCATCATAGCAAACGAGACAGCAAATTTGACTCGATGTTCCCGTTATCCAGATTCAATGCGTTGTTGCTCCTCTGAATAAAGCAACTTTCGTATGCGTCTAATTTGCGCGCGTCGCCTATCTCTTTCACCAGCCGTAAGTTGCTTATGTCGATATTCAAATGACCGCTGTTCAATGCATGTAATGAATGCTAAGGCAGAGCGGTAGCCCTGTTTGTTTTTTATGCACAAACAATGTTCACGGAAACGAACTGAAATGTTACGTTTCGTTTGTCCAATGTATTCACACATACAAACGGGGCACTGAATAGCATAAATGCCAGATTTGTGTAAAGAATCAATTGTGTCTTTGGTTGAACCCAACAAATTCATTATTTTGGTTTGATTCGTATACACAATGGTTAAATTATATTCACGAAACTTATTTTTTATCTTTTTCATAATTTGTGGGATATATGGCAAACCAACTCTAACTCTTTCCACTTCTGGCGTGTTTTGCGAAAACAATGTCGATAAATTAAATTTGTTTATTTTGTCTAAATGTTTTTTTATCAACACGTCGACCAAATCTCCTTTGAAGCCATTTATCTTCGCCATTTGTTTTATGCGAGCGTATTCAGTCATGTAATTTTGTGCTGAGAGTTTCATTCGACACAATCGATGAACCATTGAATGATACGCAGCCAATTTGTGTTGCATGCTACAGTTTGAATCACTAGTTATTGTTCTCAAGGTGTCAGTGGGTTTGTGGTAAATGGCAATATCAATTTTATTGTCCACAGAAGTTGACAATTCGATGTCCAAAAACGATAATTTACATTTATCATTCTCCTTCTCACACGTAAATTTAATCGAATCGAATCGATTATTGAGCACGTTTAACACTGAGTCAATTTCGTCTTTCTTTATTATCGCGAACACATCGTCTACATATCTCCACCAGATTCTGGGAAGCAAGTTTTCTTGTTTTAATTTTCGTTCGAATGCCGACATGAATAACTCACTAATCAATGGGCTAAGCGGATTTCCCATGTTAGTTCCAATCGACACATGATAAAACGAATCAAGAAATTGAAAATAACTATGATCCATACACATACGTGCTGCTTGGTAATAAACTGATTTTTGTTCGAATGGAATATCAATTTGCTCTAAATATCTTTCAAATTCCTTCAATGCAACAATGCAACATCAATTGGAATACTTGGAAATAAAGAACACACATCAAATGAAATTTTAGTCTCATCACAATTCACAACAACATTTTCAATTTTTTGAGCGAAGTCTCATTTAGCAATGAGATAGTCAGTGGTCCCGATACTAGATACAATCGGCCTCATTTTGTTTCCGGCTTTATGTATCTTTGGTAAACCGTAAATTCTGGCAACTTTTGGATTCGACACTTTGATATTTCGAGCCAGACGCGCACCAAACACTTATTTCTTAAATCAAATAATTTCTGCGATGTTCAACGGTCAAATGTTGTTGATGCACGTACACGTTCGGGTGCAAGTGTCGCAAGTTGTGCATTTTTGGCAACTACTACGGAGCCCACAACTTACAATGAAGCCATCAACGATGAAAGAAGTAAGGCATGGGTGCATGCAATGAACGAAGAGTACGATTCGCTGATTAAAAATCGAACGTGGGAGATGGCTATTCTTCCAAAAGGACAGCGTGTAGTTGATAATCGCTGGGTTTTTCGCATCAAACGAAATCAAGATGATACGATCGACCGTTATAAAGCGCGTTTGGTAGCGCGTGGTTTTACGCAATGTTATGGCATCGATTATACTGAAACATTCAGTCCAGTGGTAAAATTTGCTTCAGTGCGAACGCTGCTGGCTATTGCTGCCGAAAAGAAAATGTTCATGAAACAATTTGATGTCAAAACAGCCTTTCTCTACGGTGATTCGACAGAGGAGGTGTATATGCGGCAGCCCATTGGTTTTGAAGATGGCACCGATCGTGTGTGTAGGCTGAAGAAAAGTCTATACAGTTTGAAGCAAGCTCCACGGTGTTGGAACGCAAAATTCAGAAAATTCATCATCGATTTTGAGTTCAAGGAGAGCGAAGCGGATGCATGTGTTTACTTTCGAAAAAGTGGCAATCATACAACTTATTTGGCCATTTTTGTGGATGATGGCATGATAATTTCAACGAGCGAGTCATGCATTGTGCCAGTCATCGAATATTTGCAAACACATTTTGAGATTAAAGTGTTTGAAGCGAATTATTTTCTGGGACTCGAAATAAATCGAACGTCAAACGGATCGATACATTTGAGTCAATCATCATACATCAGCCGGGTGTTAAGCAAGTTTGGCTTCGAGGACTCAAATCCAGTAGCAACACCAGTAAATCATCAACAAGTGTTGGGGGCAGCAGAGGAAGCATCGAACGTGAAGTTCCCGTATCGACAAGTGGTTGGATCTATGATTTATCTGGCAATCGGCACTCGACCAGATATCAGTTTTGCTGTTGGTTACGTCAGTCGATTCATGGAACGACCTACCGAAGCTCATGTGACAGCAGTGAAACGGATATTAAAATACTTGAAAGGAATCAGCAATTATGGTATATTGTTTCCAAGTAAAAATGCTAACAATTTTAAGTTATTTACTTACAGTGATGCCGATTACGCTGGTTGTACCGAAACACGAAGGTCAACCACTGGTTACTGTCTATTACTTGGAAAAGGGAAAGTAAGTTGGTGTTCTGAAAGACAATCATCAGTGTCACACTCGACAGCTGAATCAGAATACATCGCGGCATCACTCGCATCGAGAGAATTGATCTGGCTAAAACGCTTACTTCGAGAAGTGGATGAAACAACCGTTTCGAATTCGCCAATACTTTTTGTGGACAACGAAAGTGCAGTGAAAATCATCAAAAATCACTTCAACCACTTGAGACTGGAAATGTGAGAGAGAATAAAAGAGAATAGACGATTGTGTTTATGCTGTTAAGCGTCTTATTCATTGAGCAGTTTGTAGTGAACTGAATTTAGCAATGAGAATGCAACCTGACGTTGATGCCATTTGATTTGACACAATAATATTCTACTTGTGGTAACACTGTTTTCAACACTCCCACGTCTTGTTTCAAATCAAAAATCCCAAAAAAAAATTTAACAATTTAATCTTTAACAAAATCAACAATTCTAAATTTTTCGATGCTAAAACAAATTTAAATCAATTTTCCTTTAAACAAATCAACAAAGAAAATATTAATTTACTGTGGTGAGAGTGAAATGATGTTTAACTAACAAAAATGCAAAGTCCATATTGGATATGGCAATCACAATTCCGGTTGCGCTTACAATATCATCGGCTTCAAATATTCTAGATTCATTTTTAATAATGCCATTTTGTTTATAAGAATTTTTGGCTTATAAGCAAAATCACTGAGTTCGTAGAAAGAGAACAGCCAAGTGGATAAACAATAAAGTATACTGTCCATCGCGGTGTTCGTTTATAGCGATTCGTAATAAAGCAGTTGGATGAGTATAAATAAATGCTTGTATGGACGCTACGGCGCTGAAATAAATAAATAAATAAATAAATAACAATTTGTCAATATTTTATATTAAATTTTTGGCTTCGTTCGCTGCGTACCGACGAGATGAAGTTTGCACGGATGGTTGAATTATTGAATTGATCAGCCACTTTGTTTGCAAATTAACACATTTGAGGCACTCGAGCTCTGATTTGTTTGTCCATGAGCTTATCTTCAATCTTGAGGTGGTCAGTGTGCCGTAAGATACGTATGCTCTCTCCGATTGCGTACATTATTTGAGTCAATGTTCATACTTAATTCTTCCAAATTGGTCATATCTTTCGGTCTCGATATGAATTGTAAATTCAAAACTACATACCAACAGGGACTTTTTTAGATTAGACGTAAAAATTCTCTTCAATTCATCACCTCTTTGATAAATTGAACGATGAACTTCGCAGTCGTTGAGGCCGACATTAATTTGTTCAACGCTCCAGTTAGTCTATCTTTTCTCAAACGTGTTGTTATTTTTTTATTTATTCAACACCGCCAAAAGACTGGCTGAATAATAAGTTTTGCAGGAAAAGAACTCAAACAATGAGATATCGCCTAGATATATCCATTGGATATTTCTGCTAGACGGCATATTTTGTTGCGTTTATACAAACGCTTTGTTACACAGTGACGGTGTCGCGCGCGACATACATAGAACAGAGCGCATTTGAGGAGGCGTCGCAAATACAAATACATGAGCGATCAAGTCTTTGAACACATACGAACAGTGGGCACACAAATGGTAGCGTCCTCAAATGCGCTCTGTTCTGTGTATGTCACGCGCGACACCGTCACTGTGTAACGAAGCGTTTGTTCAAACGCAACAAAATATGCCGTCCAGCAGAAATATCCAATGGATATATCTAGGCGATATCGCATTGTTTGAAACGACTCCAAGAGTCGTGAAAAACCTGATCTTTTGATTTTTGTACAATTTGGTGTGTAATAATTATATAGTAGTCTTTCTGTCGCCTTCGATGTAATCGCGTCAATGGGCTTGACAAAGCTCAGCTTCTGGTAAATGATGACGTCGAGATCTTTGTGGTCCGAAATAAAGAAGGTAAAATCACCGTATTTGTAATTAGTATCGATGATATCCTTCCTTTTTGTGGTGATTGTAAGGACGGCGCATTTTTCAAGGTTCAGGTGCAAATTGTTTACGTCGCACCGAACCAGAGCGGCGAAACCGAACTGTCATCATTAATTACAACGCGGCTGTCAGAATAAAGTACAAATTGAATACACGCCAGACAGTCTTAAGTGCACCTTCGCAGGACGACTTGTTGAATTTGAACTACTATGTTTGAAAAAGACAACGTATTTTCGTGAACGTATATTACACCGTACAACAAATTTCAACTTCTGCTCTCACACATGGACACTTTAAATGCAGGATGTTAGGGGACCTAAAAACAAACAAAACTGCATACTACGATTTCTCCGTTGACGTGGTAATAAGAAAAATATCGACCTATCAAATATTTTGTGTGGGCTAGGATTTTTAGACTTTTATATCATCATGTTTTGGTCGTTAACTCATGATGTTATTGACTTGAAATCTTTTTTCATTTCATAGAAAAGAGTCAGAAAAACAAATTTCGTCGAAACAATATGCCAAAAAATCATCTTTGGGTGGATTTTTTGACGAAAATATCAAAAAAAGGCCATTTTTACTAGTTTTTTGACCAAAACGCGCACGGTTTTTCATTTTTCCTGATTATTGTGCCACCAAAACTGTAGCCAGAGATGAAACAAATATTTTTCCATCAAATACTAACCCAAAATACCATATCTAGTCGACTTGCATACTACATAACCGCTTATTGATCTCTATCCGTGAAACCAACCAAAAATCAAAAATATCAATTTCGGGTTTTCTGTCTATTTTTCCGGTTAATTTTATTGAAAATGGTTCAAAACTACAAGAAACACTTCAAATGATACGATTATAATGATTTTTACAAAGTTAAAGAAAATTTTATCTACGAGAAATTCGAAAATGCAATCATTTTTGGCCAAAAATCAGGTCCACTGCCTTGATTTCGGCAGTTGTGGTGTGATTGTGCGATTTTTTCACCTTTTTCTTCAATATTAGCCTCCCAATGCCAAATTTGAGCCATATAAGTGACACGTGTTATATGCTACAAGGAACTAGACATCAAACACTATATTTAAGGAACACATCGCATCAGTGCTAGTGCCTTTGAAGCAGTTAAAAATGGTCGCATACTTGCAGAAACACGATTTTTCAAACTACCGACCCCGATTTGAAGCAGAAGGAAGGGTTTGATCAAGTTAAAATGTTCTACGCGTAAGTAGTATTTTTTACGAGTTTTCCGAATATTATAGTGATTTGGGGCCAAAAGCGGGTTTCTGCCCTGTTTTTGCTCTAAAATAGTGATTTTTTGTGATTTTTCGAATTTTTGAGCCTCCCCTGTCCCTCCAAAGGAGAGAGCGGCCCCAACCAATGGTATTATTTGATTCATTGGAGTCTGCTGGGCATTTCATCAGCACACACCACCATCGTCAGAACACCTATTTGGTGTGTAAAAAAATTATATAGCCAAAAACCCTGTGAAAATGGTGAGATCAAAATTACATAAAAAATTTTTTTTTACATTTTTAGAAAGTGCAAGTAGAGATTCGGATTCACCATGTTTTAGATTTTGAGGTTGCCTACCATTTAAGCCCAAAAAATCGAAAAAATAAAACCACGTCTAATTGACTTTTTTCACATTTAATACTTTGAACCCACTTTTCAGGGCATGAATGGGCCCGGATGGGGTGGTCGTAATGGACTTTTTTTAGCCCCATCGATTATCTATCCAACCATGCATATAGTTTCGAAAGTTTGTACCACACTTTTCTAGTGTGAAAATGTAAAAAAAGTGCCATTTTCCATTTTTTTCAATATTTGGGTCACCCTGGGTGGGGAAGGTCACCTTAATTTTTTGGCTTTGCGAGTTTTTGCCGATAAGAAGTTTATACACCAAGTTTGAGCGAAATCGGAGAAATCACTTGCAAATTTTGTCCCGCTTGGTGTGGAATCGTCGAAAATTAAAATGAAATTGTGTTAAAATGTAGAACATTTTAATACGTTTTCTCAAAATTTGAAAATATCCGGAAATCGTTAGAGAAAACCGGATCATGCCGAAATATCCGGAATTTCACGAAATTCCGGACGTTTCCGGACGCGATGGGAGGTCTAATTATAAATAAAAATGTTGTGTGTTGGCAAGCTCGCTTTAATGCATACGTGCTCAATGTCCACGTTGTCAAATTTAATTTCTTCAGTAGAGAAGATTTCATTGTTGAGCGCAATGAGAACACCTCCAACTTGTCTAAATGAATGGGCAAGCGGAATAATGAAACGTAATTCTGTTTTTAAATGAAGTGCCTCTGAGAAAAATTTTCAGTAAAAAAGCCCCACAAAAATATTGTCTGAATAAGATTTTCATACAAATTTTTATCAGACAATATTTTTGTGGGGCTTTTTTACTGAAAAATTTTCTCAGAGGCACTTCATTTGAAAACAGAATTACGTTTCATTATTCCGCTTGCCCATTCAAATAATCTGTCTTTGCAGTAGACATCGTATGTGCTATCGAAGAATTCGGCATTAAGGTGGCTATGTTTGAGCCAAGTTTCAGTCAAGATGACAATGTCAAAACCGTTTTATGACACATTCGGATTGGAACGTCGTGTCTCACCTGAATTTTCAAAAATTCAAAAATTTGTACGATGCAATCCACGACAACCAGCGCCTGTCCGAGCGCTCACGGCGCTCCGGTGCAAGTTTTATTCATGCGCCCCTGAAATTTCATGACTCAATTTTTTTTGACAATGATTAATTTAAATTTTAAATCGTATCTTTTTGTAGCGAAAACAGTATTTATTCATGAATGTTTTACATTCGATTTGTAAATAATTTTTATTGCGTGATATAACATTTAATGTTCATTATTAAATATTGCGAATTTTCGTAACTGATCAGTAAAAGGAAACTTTCCGGGCTTTGGAAGCGGCAAATTCGTCGATGATATCCTCATATTGAATTGAATCAGCAATTTCATGCTCAATTGATATTGTAGCTAAGCCATTCAAACGGTCTTGTGACATCGAATTGCGCAGGTAGTTTTTAGTTATTTTCAGCTTAGAAAAAGTCCTCTCAGCGGTTGCAACTGACACAGGACTTGTCAAAAATATCCTGTAAGCAATAACGGCGTTGGGGACAAGATTTTCCATACCGCTGCTCTTGATCCCGTTGAGTATATCGATGACTCTAACTAAATGACGATGCTTTACCAATTCCGCCACAACCGTCATCTCTGAAATCAATTCGTCAACATCAATATCACATTCTTCTCCCTTTGAAAGCGTTACTTGAAGCTGTTTGCACGACTTGAGCAAATTTCCATTTCTTCTATTTTGATCAAAATCGTCAAATTTGTAGAGAAAGGAGAATGTTGAATTGTGCTTCTCTAATGCAACGAATCGCTCCTCTACTGCATTGATTGCTACGTTCAAGACAACATCAATGAAATCATTTTGGAAGCTTTCTTCCGAATTTATTTCACGTCCAACAGCAACACGCTTGCGACTGTTTGTAAAAACGACCTCGATTTCCATACTCTCACAGATTTCTGTTGCTTCACTAAAAACTTTTTCAGGTCCAGTTGATCTGTATTCTTCCAAAAAAAATTTAGTACTACCCAAACAAAGTACAGCGGCTTGCAAATCCGAATCAATTGATTGCAGGGCTTTCGAAGCAATGTTAACGTGACTTAAAACATCGTACCACATACATACTGCACACACAAACGGATAATCAATTTTGTCGATAATTGCTCCAGCTTCATAACGAACTTTATCCTTGAAAGCGGTTGAATTCTCAATTTCATCCAATGCAGCGATTATTTTGCCAAGATTCAGCCGAAGTGGTTTCATTGCAGCGATTCGACTGGACCATCGAGTTGTACAAAGGTTTTTCGGAGCTAACGTGGAAGCTGTCGTGATATGGCTTTTCATAATATCCCACCGATTCGAAGAACCTGAAAGAAATTTATAAATTTCTTCGACCAAAGAAAAAAAACTAACGGTTGCCCCCGATGCAGCAGCAGCTTCATTCACAACAAGATTTAGTGAGTGGTTTGAACATGGTACAAAAAATGCTCTTGGGTATTTTTCCAGAATTAGGTTCTGCACGCCGATGTTTTTCCCTTTCATGTTCGCGCCATTATCATAGCCTTGACCTCTCAAGTTTTCGGGATCTAATCCAAGTGATTCCAATTCATTGATTGCCATTTCTTTGATCCCAAGTCCAGTTTTTTCGTGCATTTCCAAGAATTCAAATTTTGCTTATATTTCTAGCGCCTTTTTCAAATTTCAAAATGTAAACAGTACAATATCGGCGCTCATTCAAATGATTGACAAGTATATTTAAACACTTTTAGCGCTTTTTAAAACTCATCTTGCGGTTTTTTAAATGTAATCGTCAGTAAAAATTGGTCGTTATGTGTTTAAATACATAGAAATAGAACACTCGCGCGCCTTCGGCGCGCTCGCATTAATTAAATTTGAGAATTTTTATTCTCGCGCGCCTTTGGCGCGCTCGCTTTAATATACCAATTTTTGCGCTCGCGCCTCGGTGCGTTGCACCGGCTGCACCGGCGGTTGTCTTATGTCTTATTTATGTCCAACACTTTGGAGTCCAACAATTGGAGCTCCAACGATTTCATTAAATGGCCAATTTCACTTCCAACGGTTTAAACTTACCTCCAAAGATTTCATTAAATGGCTAATTTCACCTCCAACGGTTTAAACTTACCTCCAACGATTTCATTAAATGGCTAATTTCACCTCCAACGGTTTGGTTGGAGCTCCAACGAATTTATAAAAAATAATTAATTTAATCTCTATAATCGATCAGATGAAAAACCTCTAGACGAGGTTAGAATGGAGTGACTCAAAATGATATCAGTCTTTTTGAGTGGTTAATCCACGCACAGGAGCGTCACTCCATTTTAACCTCGTCTAGAGGTTTTTCATCTGATATCACTACTTTTTTAAGGCAATTATTTTCGGAGAAAAATACACTTTTGCCAAAAAAAATGTCTTATTATCAGAAAAAAGCTGTTTTTTCATAAAACATTTGCATCGATACTTCACAAACTTTGGAAGCAAATTTCCGCTAACATCAAAAAGTCCCATTTCTCCCAAATTTCACATTGTAAAATGCGATAAAATTTCGGAGATCGGTTGTAAAATCGGTGGCTGCAAAAGTTTGATTTCTTACCTCCAACACAAATTGGATGCAATTGATTCTCGAAATTCGCACATTTTTGGTAATCAAAGATCGAAACGCGAAATTCCCACATTATACATACTTGGCGACATTTTGGGTGATATAACTGGTACTCTCGACGCCAAATTCTATCGTTAATTCACGAAAATGAGGATCATTTATTGCTCTTATTGAAAAATCACACATCGGTCATGGATTCTACATTGAACATAATTCAGAATGATGCGGCAAAAATGCAAAAAACATTTGAATGCGTTTAACGATCCCATTAATATTGTCAGCAATCACACCAATGTGCTTGAGTTGGAAGCAAACATACATAATTTTATGGTGTATTTGAGGCTGCTCACACAGTAAATACGATGGTTCTAACTTTTAGAACCGCAATATGAAATTTGGCACTAAAATCCATTTGAGTACCATTTGTACTAGAAAAAGTTCAAAATGTACTAAATCAAAAATCAAAGCTTCATGTATTTATTATAGAACTTTTGAACTTTTTCTAGAGCAAATGGTACTAAAACAAAGTTAAGTGTCAGATCTCAACATTGCTAGAATCATTGTGTTAACTGTGCATTAGTTACTATGAAGTTCATAGTATGAACAGCAGCAGTCTGATATAATCGATATCTTAACATTCTCGAGAAGAAATCATATCAGTCATGTGTTGTTTACGCCTGAACAAATCGACCATTTACACCAGCACTTTGTGTTCAGATTATCAATTCCATTGTTAGAAGCGACGAAATTCAAATTGTATAAAATCATTGCTGTTCCAATGATCAAAAATAAACACATTTTCGTTTTAAATAACAACCACAAATTCAAGCTGACGTCTGTGGACCGGCAGCTCCATCAATATCTTGAAAATTATGACTGCAAACCTTATCAAAACAAGAAAGCCTTGATTTGTGACAAAACAAACACGTTCATCACAGCGACGAAATCTGATTGTGTGTGGAATGTATTCAATCATTTGACAAAATCGACATGCGAAATGAAGGGATCGGAAAATACACTGCTTTTTAATAGCGTAAGCGCAAACAAATTTTTATTTGTCTTGCCAGAAGTGGTCAGAGTAACCATCATTTGCGGGGATCGTGTGGCTCACGATCAACTGGCCGGGGAGGGCATGTTGACACTCAAGCCAACATGTTCTTTAGCTTCCGAGAATGTCCAACGGTTTTCTAAAATCGCATTGACTTATGAACGTCATGAATTGATAATTCCCGAAATTTACATTGACAATTGGACGTTCCCGAAACAACTGGATTTCAAACATAAAACAATAAATCTTGAAATGGGAAACCGGCAAGAAATAGTTAAGCTTAGAGCAATTTTGAACGAAACCAACATCAATGGTAAAATAAGCAAAAAATTTGGAAAAAATGTCATATGAAATATGAACAGGCATTTTAGGCCGAAAACGTAAACAGAACATGATTTTTTTAGGTTGATGTGTTGAACGATTGAACGAAGTTGTTCAATTTTACGTTGGCTACAATATTGCCCAAAATTGTGGCCAAAAAAATCGAATACGTTGCGAGTTATATACGAAAAACGCGAATTTTTCTAGAAATTCAAACTTTTTTGCCGCAAAACACCAACCAAATATGGTTTTTTGGGTAACGTTTGTTACTAAAAATTGTTTTTTGAACTCTTAGGTACAACTTTGTTCAAGATAGTAACACGCTATTACCAATTCTAAGTTATGGACCAAAAAATGGAAATCCAACATTGCTGAAAACCTGTGTTGAATTTTTTTTTACAAAAGTCGATAAAATAAAAACGCCAACCAATTTTGCAAAACCCAGTTGGGGTTCTACTCAGCTATAGTAGTACTAAAACGTGGGATATGCCAAGTCCACCCGTTTACTGTCAAATTTTGAACAATTGTAGAGCGCCATGGATTTCGTACGGCAAAATTCAGTACTACTTGGTGTGATTTTGTGGTATTTCACAATATGTCGAAATCACTTACGGCTATTTACAGCTCAATCACACCAATTAGTACTGAATTTTGTCGCATGAAATCCACGGCGCCTCACAATTTCACACTTCGAATTCTGTATACAATAAATGCGAGATTATAAGCGTGTGGCCAAGTCCAATTCGTTTTTCTTGTGTTGCACTGTGTATTTTGACAGCAGATTTCTTCCACAGGATCAAAACTGTAAACAAACAAAAAAACACACAACAATCGATGGTTTGTTCATTTCAAAAATCACATGCACACGGTGGCATTGTTTGGTTCAATCACTCGTTCGATGTCACCACGATAACAATTTAGATGACTTTAGCTTTTTCCCTTTTGATTTAAGTTGCTGGCTGTTCAATCTGAATTTAGTCGAACGTAGCAAAGATTCATATTTCATGACATGGTGAAATTGTGAACGGCGGTTTGTTTACAATAACAAACTTCAAAATGAACCAACACTAATAGCGGGAATATTCACTACATTAGTTTTGCCTGCCATCTCTGGACAATTTAAAACGTAATCGTTGAAAATCAGAAGAAATAAATTTGAAAATATACTCTCACTATTCAGTTCATTCTCTTTGGATCAATACATGAACAAAAACATGAACAATTTAAATCTTAGAATTTTATTGCATACGATAATGCTATTTTTGCTTCGGCAAGTGTGAATATCGATTTCTTCGTTGTGTGAACACTATTAATTGATACAGAATTCTTTTCTCTTTAATTTAAAATCTATCATTTCTCTCGTTCCGAATATTCATACAGTTGGTTTACACTGAAATTTCAGTCAATTTTGACGGAAAAAAAGCCTAAAAACGTTACATCTTTTAACGTTAAAAATGACTTAATTGCGTTACATGAATGTTTCTTGGCTGGCGAATGAATTTTTCGAAGTCCAACATTTTCATAAAATAACATGATGGTTCAATAGTTTGTTTGAAAAACATTGATCGATATAAACCAATACGAATAAAGAGAAATGAAATCGAATTATAAATTCCATGCTAATACCACAGATTCCTTGGCTCATGAGGAGTAAAAAAAGTACATGATCACTTTTCCGAATTCGGCCTTTATACCAAAGATTCGGCCGCCGACGCATTTTTGGCCGCGCCGCTGTGATTCCACACCAAAGGCCATCTTGAGTACATTTTTCGACATAAACTCATGATTGTTAGCTCCTTAGAAATATATTGAGGTCCACCAGACTTTACAATCCAAAAGAAATGAAAAAAAGTTTGACCGAATGCGTTAATAAGGTATCGTTTTTTATCAAGAGCACAAAATTTTAGGCCGATATGCCAATTTTCGTAAACTAATTTTGACGTTAACCCAAGAAAACTGCGGCCCAACGGTGCCATCGGTACCCACTTTTCAAAACCAAAGCCTCTATACCAAAGATTCGGCCGCCGACGCATTTACTGCTGAGCAAAACGGCGGTTTTCAATTTGATATAAGACAAAAATTCGTCGCTAAATTCATTTAAAACAGAATGCAAAAATCATGTAATGGAAAACCTCAATGTATAGATACAAATGCAACTAGAAGAGCTAACGCTAATAAACATAATACAAACATAATACATTTTTGCCGCTTGACCCTGAAGGACTACGCACACTTGTGAAGGAATGAATATTTTGGGGCTTAATTTACCAAAGTTATTCTATATGGATTAATCCCTAAAAAAACCCTAATTAGGTTAGCGCAAATGCCAAAAGTTTTAAAAATCACAGCTCCTCGGCCGGAATCGAAAAATTGGGACTGAACATTTTTTTTTAGCCATTTTCCGACACACTTTTGATAATAAAGTCAACATGCACTAAAGCTATCCAGTTTGTATGGAGAGGAAACTCGAATATTGAAGAATATTCGGAAATTTTGGTACAATATCGCAATTACACTGGCCAACAGATGACTGAATCTTACTGCTGGCGTACAGTACTACAATTCTATTCGTGAGACGTTAAAGAATGTATGTTTTTTTGTCGATTTATATTTTTGAAAAGGAAAGTATGTTTTCTGTTGATTATATCTGCGTTAAAAGGAAGTATGTTGGCATCCCGTCTAGCCTCCGCGGTTTTTTCCGCGAAACCGATAGACGATAACAGCATGGTGTCTTCGGCAAAGTTGTAGTACTCGAGGTCTTCCATAACATTGCTGAAGACATCGATCTCTTATCTCTTATCAGTTGCGCGCAAATCGCGCACATAAAAAAGCAAATTTTATATAGAACTTTTTTTTTCTTATTATTTTTCGCGCTTTTCGCGGAACTGATAACAGATAAGAGATAACTGACTTCAGCAATGTTATAGAAGACCTCAAGTGCTACAACTTTGCCGAACTCTTATCAGTTCCGCGGAAACCGTGAAAAACCGCGAGGACCCGCCAAAAACGAACATACATTCTTTTAACCATTATTAGTTGCAATAAAGCATACTTCTCTTTATTGCTACGAAGTTGGACCAACTTGCGTTCTTTTACGTCTCACTAATAGAATTTTGGTCAATATTACAATGCTCTAAAGTGCAATACTGAGCTGTTACAGCTGAAAATTAATATTATTATTCCGTACACACCGTGTCAAGGGAAAGTATAGGAATTGGTCCCGAAAACTTTTTTCGCAAAATTGGTTTAGATCATCATAAAAACTCATGAAACGCGTAGAAAACCACTTTTTGAGACACTTTTTCGTTCGTGTGCCGTCGTCGTCGTTGTCGTCGTTGTCGTCGTTGTCGTCGTTGTCGTCGTTGT